CATGAGTCTTTTTGGCTGGGAGCTTTTGATCCACAAAGTGGGCAGCTCAGATAGAAAAGCACTTCTAGTCTGGCAGTAGACTTTTTCAAAAGCTCAGCGGAAAATCAGCTATGCGGAGTTGCATTTTTGTTTGGTGCATTATGAAGCTCGCGCCATCTTTGTTGTTGAAGATCTGACAAGTATTGAGTGAATATGCAGGATTGCAGGTGCTGAGCGTTAAGTGGATTTGCTTTTTCCCATTCTCGGCATGAAGACAAGTCATTCTAGACCTTACTCTGCCCATTCCATGCCTCGCGCAGAGCAAGCACAGGTCAAGACTTTGTTTGCGTCTCGGCCTCTTTGCTGCTTGTTTTCCAACGAACACGACACCGCGGCCTCCTTGTCCCCCAATGGAATCACTCCTTCTTCGCACCCCGACGTGGTGCGAAAACGACCGGGTTCGTGAGGGCACACCGCGCACGGCTTCGGCCTCCACGAGTGCCGTGTTGGGCTCAAGTGAGTGCCACCGTAACGGTCGCCCCAAGTGCTGAGAGACCATGGCGGGTGCGGAAGCTTGGGGGAGGGGAGACGCTGATAGAGCGGATGTGACCCCTTTGGATGCCTTGGCCTTCCGTTACGCACCAGCACGTTGACTGCAGGGCCTTTTTGTGAGAAAGGCCCTTGGCGGGTGGGCCGGTTGGGGTACTTTTTGGGAGGTCACCTCTCAGCCTGAAAGATGCAAAAGAGCCAGGCGAAGCTGCAAAAGAGCTAGCTGCTAGCTGCTAGCTCTTCGGTTGCTGGAAGTTTTGATGTTTCCACCCTTGGCTCGGATCGGATGTCCGATCTTCATCCATCTCGGAGACATCTTTTTCGGTGGGGAAGCCACTCTCCTCAAGCAGTGTGCCTGAGGAAATGGAGTTGACTTCAATTGCCTGGAGTTCTTCAAGGCGACCGAAGTTCGCTTTTCGCGACCGGAGCGCCGAGCGCGCGGGACGCATCCATGTTTTCCGAAGTGCGCTTCGCCCCAGCTGACGGTCTTCGGACAGAAAGGAGGTCCAATCGACTCGCCAGGAGGTGCTTTGATTCGCCAGGGTGGTTTTCGTTTCGACTCCGCTTCCTTGTTGGCCTGGAATTTCGTGGGTGTTGTCATCCAAGCGAATCGCTTTGACCCGTCCGTGTTCGCTTCGCGTCCGTGAAGGGGTGGGATCTGAAGCTTTGTATCTCAGAAAATCACCGGGATCAACCCGAAAAGCGTCTGATTCTTGGTTGAAGATCAAAAGACACGATCTGACTGTCGATGACGAGCCGCAGTGATCCCGATCACCTGGGACACCGATTGCAGTGATTCCCCCAAGCTGACCGTTTCAGATCCGCCTCACCTGCACGAAACTCATGGCCGTTGGCAGGAAGAGATTAGAAACGAGAATGCGACCATCAAGATCGGCTTGGATTCCAAGTGTGGGTCATCTTGCTCGATGGAAGCTGTCGATCTTTGCGGATTTTGTGTTGTATGATGTATGATGAATGGCGTTTGCTTCTTTTTTTCTCGAACGACTTCTCGTAGCACCAGAAACTCCAACTTCTTCGTTCCGACCCTTCGGGAAAGGAGAAGTCCGACCCGGTGGACCGACCCGGACCGGACCCGCATCGGTGTCTGAGAGGTCGGACCGTTTGCTCCGAGGTGCAGTGAACCAATTGCATCTTATCGCCTCAGCTCCTCGGCTCTCAAGCGAGCGAGTAGTGCTGACTCGGTTCAGGGACGGGCGGGGGGGGGGGTGGTTTGGGCAGCTTGTGATTCTGGTTACGTACATGTTCTTCAGAAGAATTCTTCTGGTTCTCCTCCATCCCCATGTTCTTCTTTTTCTTCTTCCCCTTTTCGTTTTTTTCAACGAGAACAGCGGCCAGAAGACGGCCACGACTAGAGACTGGATTTACGCCTTAAGAGCTTCAAACAAGACTTTGGGAGAGGACGGCGTCACTGTTGAAATCAAGCGAGCCTCGCAGTTTTTTTCTTGAGGACATCGAAGATACGTTCTCAAGCATTTCCGAGCAGTGTGTGACAATTGGTCAGGTCTGGAGATTCTTTTCCAAAACCGTTTCAGTTCAATTTCATAAATCGTAGGAATCGTAGGAACCAATCCCAGACGTGTCGGTCCTGCCGAGGCCCTGGGTCCTCAGAGGACCGTCAGCGAGCTCATCCCTTACGTCGTGCAGGTGGGGTTGGGGTGCATGCGAACGTGAAGTCAAGTCCTGGAGAGGAATTTGCAAAGAAAAAACTCATCCCAGAAGTAAACAACCGAGTGAATTTTAAGTTTTGCATATATTCTTGTCAGACATATTTTGTTCAACTTTAAACTTTTAGACGTCTGATTTTTTGGTTTGTTCTTTGGCAGTGTTGAATGGCCGCGGGTTCCAACGCGAGTTCTTTGGCTTCGCGGCTTGGCTGTCGCGGGAGGATGTGAGTCCTTCTTCTGCCTGGACGAGTCACAGAATCGAAGAAGATCGAGTGAGTTCTGAAAGCGGATATTTCAACAAGTCCAAAGACCAAAGATGATCAAGAGGAAGATAGGAAGAACGGGTTCCACTTGCAGGGTGAGCTTCTCTCAAGGCCCTTGTCATGCTAATGAGGGCCTTGTCATGCAGGTCGTTCAGGAGGAGCCTCTCTGCAATGATGACGAGTTCCTGTACTCCATGGCGAGGCGAGACTCGTGCGATTTCGGGTACTGCTTGGCAGCCAAGCCTATTTGCATGATAGCTTCATGGCTTTTTGAATCCCCTTATTCTTGGCATGTGAGGGTGTCCAGTACAGCTGTGTGTTCGAGGCAGTATGCAGTTCTCTCGGACTACATCAATGGGAATGATGAGATGTCGGACTCCCAGTGCTGAGCTGGTACAAGAAAAGACAGTGCTGGTGTGGGTGAAGATCACTTTGAGCTGGAATGACTGTTCTCAACATCCATTCAGAACCTTGGACTTCTTGAATGCTATGACTAATCTTTCTTCCATCCAATCCAATTTCCATCCAATGCCATGGCATCTAATCTTGACTGCTTTCCATCCAATGCTATTCTTGAATGCTATTTCTCTATTTTTTTAGCGTGGGCAGTTGGACTGTTTCCTGGAACCCCCAGGCTCATTGCACCCTTGGAGCACTTGGCAGCGCAAGAGGAAACTGTGATCAGAGATCAGGACTGGGACTGGTGAAACTTCTTTTGCCTTTTTTTCCGCGGTTTGTTCATATGAAAAGTGCTTCTTTGAACCTGTGAGATCTTTGAGACAGCTTGAGACTGCAAGCTTGCAACAGATTTTGGCCAGAAGTCCACTTGGTCAACATATATGCCCCACTGGCCCTTGCGACCTTTGTTTTGCACTAACTTTCTACCGTTGCGGGGCATCCTGCCGACGACGACCGCGGCGACCGCCCCAGGCCATTCAATCCCTCTGCAAGGTCATTGAGAAAAGGCGACGACGGAACCCTGGAGTGTCCGCGAGATGGTCGGAGCCACGAGAAGGTCAACGCATGTTGCCCATATGCGGAGCTTAATATGGTTGGCACCTTTTCGTACCTGCCTTTTCTATGAAAGCATCGTGTTGTACAGTGTTTTATACACATTGATCTTGGGATGCAGACCCTGACCCTCAACCTGCCCCTTGGGACCAGGCCGGCCCTGGCTCCTGACTACTTGGCCGAAGTCCCAGTGGTGTAGTCGCAGGATGCTGCATCGTTGGTACCACCTAAGTCCCAATGTACATTGGGTCCGTCGTCGCAGCTTTTACAGTGGCACCACAACAGGCAGGTCGGATAGGGTGGTCACGGAATCTTTTTGGATCTTTTCTGGAGCTAAAATCCAATGACATCATGCACGAACTAGCAAAGCGCCAGCGAACTCGGCGCGGCCTACTCCAAAAGGAAAAAGAACACCAGCAGGACGAACAACAATCCACCTGCATGTTTTTTTGCTTTTTCTTCCAACCCTAACCCATTGTTGTTGCTGTTCGTGCCACTCCACCGCTGGGCCACGCCGAGGTGCCGGCGCTCCACCGCTTGGCCACCAAGACCGACTTCTTCACCGCGCGCGTCTCCGCCTGCGTCGGGGCCGGTCCCAGGGACGAAGGGGACAACGGACGACCAGACCGGACCGGTGACTGGGTCAGGTGAAGCAGGGCACCGGACCAGCCTTTTGGAGGGTTTTGAATGGTTATGATTTCTCATGGCGTTTTTGTTTTTTTTGTGTTTTTTGAATCGAACATATAGAAGGATCATGAAGGATCTAACACGGCTGGTTTGAGTAAACACCGAAAAGATCGGTCAAACCATTGGTCTAAGCTGCTTGTTTTGCTAGGATTTCTAGGACGAACCAGTTCTGCAAAACCCGCCTGTTCTTCCTGCCACTCTGAGGCTTTGCTGCCCTTGGCATATCGCCATGTCGGGAGCCATGTCGGGAGAGCTTTCCGTCGATCCGTGAGGAACGTGAGGAAGATCGACGCACATTTGGTCGCTTCGTGAGGAAGACCAGATCTCTTCCAGACCAGACATCTGAAGAAGCATACTTCACCTGGACGTCCTGAAGCGTCACCATTTCAAGCATTTCTTCGCGTCCTTTCACGACGTCACAGAGTTGTCGTGTCTAGTTTTTCGAGTTGTCGTGCTTCCGTCGTCAAGTGTTGGTTCACCAATTCTCATTGGCTGGAAGGTCAAAGAAGACCAGAAGGCAGGTCTGCGAAAGGTGTGGAGCTCGGTCAGCGAAGGTGTTGTGACTGAAGGTGCGAACCCGCTATCTGCTTTGCTGGTTTTATGTGGCGGGAGTGGCTTTATCAACGAAGAGCTATATTTTAGGGTTCCTCCAGTGAAAAACAGGTGAGTTCTGTGATCGTTGCCAGCTACCTGTTCTCTTTTGAATATAAACCGGTGCAGACATTTGTCATTGACCATTTACTAACGTTGAAGACCTTCGTTGAAGACTACCCACGTTTTTCTCTTCGCCATGACCCATGCACCTCAACCTTGAGGCCTTCACCATGCTCTGTGCCGATGAGACGCCCATGGTGCGTCGGGCAGCCGCTCACAAGATGCGCGACTTCGTCTCGGTCTGCGCCAAGCAGGCGACCGGCACGACCGAACAGGTGAAGGTGGGTGTGTTCCACGGTGGGGGTCGAGACTGGAAGAGGACCTGGGTGTGACGAACGACCATACGAAATAACTTGAGGCGCCTCCTTTTGTAGCTGAAACAGAGACAAAACGCCCTTTTGGGCTCTTGATGTATTTGGGTTACACTGCCACACTGCAGAGTTCAGGTGGACGCTACATAGGTTTGGTGGGCTCATAGGCTGAATGAGTGGCTGAATGATATTGTGGAAGACGGAATTTGCCGTATCCGAATTGCAATGAGACCGCAGGAAACAGCCTGATCCACCAGCCTGGTTTGTTTATAGCCCACAACGCTACAGCAGAAAAAGAGTTTTGGCATTTTCAGGTCGGGCAAATTCAGATTGCCAGTTGTTTTGCGCTCAAACTTCTTATGCTGAACATAGATATCGAAGCCATTGCACACCCCAATACAAGCCTTAAGCAACTTCGACATTGTTCCCTGCATCACTTGTGAAGCCAGGGATGCCTTCAAGATAACGTTACATCATTGGAATCTATCATTTGAATCAGTTCCCCCAGCTGGCCCCTTCTTGCGGGCAAGAACCAAGCTCCGGTCCCCTGGAGCCCCCACGACGGGCGGACGGCTCGAGCGGTCAGGACCTGTTGACGGATCTCATTGGAGTCTACAAGCAGCTGTCGCAGGAAGACACTCAGGAGATCGAACATCAGATGGGTTGGGCGTGGGTGCTGTCTCTCTGTCAACTCCTCCCAGGGTCGGCAGTTTGGGCGTCTCCGAGTCGAGCGGAGAAACGCACACATCGGCATGTTCGGTTTGTCTGTGCGTTTTTGGCCTCGTGCGCCAGGACACGATCCGCGTGGCCTGTGTCCATGCGACCTTGGTGATTGCCAAGATGCTCAATGCAGATGAGCCTGGAAGCCCAGTGAGCAGCTGCTAAGGGTGGTTTAATGTAGACTCTTGAGGACCATAACCCCAGGCATTTGAATTGAACATCGTCTTCATATGGGGGGTGTATTAATCAAGAGTCTACATGACTCCCCCAACGATGGATTAAGTTTGGACTGGTCCCTTTCACCCAGTCCCTCAACGATCTGGAAGCTCAAGCGCCGGCTGACATTGGGTCCCCCCCCCCGATTTGAGGGGTCCTGTTTGTGTTCATTCCCTTCCCACCTCCGTGATCCCTGAAAAGCCTCCTTCCACCGGTCTTCCACACCCGTGACCACCACCGTGCGGGTCCAAGCACCCGCGCCCGCCCGCGCGCGTCACCTCAGGAACCGACAGCACACGGTCACCGTGATCAAGGAGGCCGCCGAGGATCGATCCTGGCGCGTCAGGCCGGGTCGGCCGTCGGCCGTCGGAGGCGGTGTGGGCGTGGGCGGGTGGCTGGGAGTCGGTCGCAGCGCTGAAGGTTGGAGACTTGGCCAAAATGCACATTGAAAGGGTGAAAGAGAGGTATAGTTGTAGTTATTCCTCCTGAAGGGTTTTGATTTTGCGAATCCGCATGGTCGAAAGTATGCCTGTTTGCTTCACTCTCCTCCGGGCCAGTGATTCTAAAGACTTTGCACAGCTTGGAGTTTGAGCCGCCTTGGACGTGAGTTCCGCATCTCAGTAGAACCGGTCACCTTGGTAGAACCGATGGCATTGGCCGTTCCAAACGTCGCCCACGTCGCCCTGGCATTTTCATCCCGTCGGCACTCGAGCCTCGCGATGTCGGCACGAAGGAGGTGGCGACCGGGTCGTGCCTCGGTGCAGGCTGACCGTGGCGAAGAACTTCGATCAGCTGTGCCAGGCCTTTGGTGGAGACCTCGGATGAACTCTGGCTGCGGGGCAAAGAAGATTTGCCACGGGGATGACCTGTGCTTTCAAGTGAGAGAAGAGGAATGAAGAGGGACGTATTTTTCGATTCGAAGCACCAAAACCATGCGCCTTTGGAATGACCCTTTCTGTCCTTTCCACAACCTTTTTTCCCTGCAATAATCGAGCTCCGGGTTCGGAAGCGAGGTCCGGAGCTTACGGCTCAGAAGCTGATGCAGCCCTTCATCCAGCTGATGAAGGACCAAGCGAGTCGAGTTGAGTTGAGGATGGATGTTGTGATGACCTGGATGAGTGGATGAGGATGACGAGTAGAACAAGTACAATTGCTTGGAGGATGAATCTAGACGGTATACACTAGTATACACACACAATCAAGATCTAAGAGGATAGTTCATGAAGCCCTTAACAATATTACAGGAGCCAGCGAACACATTGGCTACATTCTCTTGTGCGAGGTGTTCATACTTTTCCAACGAGGTCCAGTGATCGTGAGATCCTGCACCCCTAAGGACAATGAGCAGGAAGTGAGAAAGGAGGCCGTGCGTGTCATTGAGGCATGCTTGAACCTGCCGGGAAGCCCAGCCTCGGAGCCTCAGAGGTCGGAGTTTTGGCCCTATGGCCCTTTTTGGCTCCATCGTGACTTCCTTTTTCCGTGTCGGTTTAGGGCGTTCCGTGTCCAACTCCGGAGAGAACAAGGCCTCAAACTGTGGGACACAGAACCCAAGAGCTTCTGTAGATGATGTGCTTATGTTGTTTCTTTTTACCGTTTTGCCATTGTCCGTCGAGAAGAGGCCAGAGCCTTTGACCAGCGAACAGCTCCAGCAGCACATTTTGCCCGGACCAAAGAAGTCGAGCCGAAGCAGTCGGTGGTCGGTCACTTCGTCGGTCGGTCACGCCGTCATCGGTATGCGTTCAGAGTTGAGAGGAGTCGGTGGGAAGGTTGGCGCTTCAGCACTGGACTTATCTCCCAGCAGAGATGGACAAGTGATGGATCATATATGTATTTTATGGCCAAGTAATGATAATATGTGTGTTTTAGATTGAAGGAGCAGCTGATTTGACATGCAGAGTTCCGTTCATTCAAACGAATTTCGGCGACATGCCCTACATGTGGAAGGTTTACATCATGACCCTTCCAGGACTGCCAGATGTGCAGATCCTTTTCATGATATGCATGCAACTCACACACCCGCAAAGTTTGAACTCCAGGGTTTCTGTCGGAACGCTGAACTCCCACCACGAACGTCGCAGACATCATGGCACGCCATGCTCGTGGGCGGCTCCTCTTGTTGGTGCTTCTTGGTTGCCCGCTGATGGCAGCCTTCACTGCACTCACTGGAGGCACATGCCCAGGATTGACGTGCAATGCTTTTTGTGCAGTGTTTTTGCCCTGACTTTAAGTATCTGACCGCTGCGAGGTTCTGATGATATGCTGGTCCCTTCCATTTTCCGGAATCGGAGGATTTGCAATCTTTCAGGATGCAACAAACTCAACAAACGCAATCCTGCACCATTTTCCTTGTTGGGGCCTGTTTGAAGAAGTAGGACCTAGAATATACTGTAAATGATAGGAGCCCGAAGCTGTGTCACCAGCTCAAAGCTTGACAGGTCTTCGAGCTTTACCTCAGATCCATCGTGTCACAGCGACACAACGCCAAGCATTGCCAGTCTTGGGGACTGTTGTTGGTGGAAAAGCAGCCTTGGCCGTTGGTGTCGGCTTGGGCTCATCCTTCTTGAGCGGATTCGCTTTGCTGTGGGCCTTGGTGCGAAAGAGACCCAAGTCGACGCCACCTCAGGGTCCTCCGCTTCTTCGCCCCGGCAAAAAGCCGAAGATGCTGGCGCCAGCGGCCACGAAGACGCTGAAGGTTGTCCTGCTCGGCAAGACCGGCCACGGCAAATCCACGGTGGGGAACAAACTGCTGGGGCAAAGCGCGTTCAAAACGAGCTACAGTTTCTCCAGTGAGACGAAAGGCATCCAGAGTGACAGCTCTCGACACCTTTGCCCTCAAGACTATATGCCCTACAATCTTCAGGTGTATGACACTCAAGGTTCCTTTCATGATTCAAAGTACTGTGGCTGGGTTGAGCTGACTTGCTGCAAAGGGTTTGTTTGCTTGAATACTGCTTCCTTTGGTTGCTGAGGCTTTATGGACACAAACATGAAGCTAATGGTCAATATGACAGAAGCAATTCGACGTGAGCTGCAAAACATTGTTGAGCTCTGGAAGGAGACAAAAGGAGGCCATCTTGCGGTTTCATCTCAGCTTTGTGTGTGTGTGCCCCTTGTAGTCACAGGGATCCGTTTGGATTGTACTTTTGACTCCGTTTTCCTTTTTGAGCAGGGGGGCACGGAGACTGATTTCCCATCCGTGCCAACGAAGCTACGGAAATCAGTTGGAAGAGAGTTGGGACGCCAACTCTTGTACCTGCATTTTGACTTTCAAGTTTCTGTAAAGGGCTAATGCAGCTGCAGTCACGCACGGAGCCGTCACTCTGTCGGACCGACCTCGCCTTGAGCTTTTGGCCCCTACTCCTTTTGAAGACCTCCAGGTTCCATAGGGTTTTCCTGGACTTTTCAGGACTTGGCTTCTTAGGCTGGCGTGTGGCACCGCTTTCAGTTCAGTACATCCTATCCTAAGTGTGTCTCTCCTAGTGAGAGCCCAGGGTGAGCCCGAAGAGTGCCCCCTGTGGACCCGTCGAACGGGGGTTTGTCGTTGTTCCCCCTGCCCGGGAACGTAGGTGTCCGAAGCGGACAGCAGGAGGCTTATGCCAAAGTTATTTGCCAAGATTTGTCGGATTATTGAATTCCAAGATGGCTCATGCCTTTACGTGACCGCAGCGGTCTGAGCAGCCAGCCACTTTGTCACGGCGTACGTGGCCAGCGGCCCAAGTTTGTCTAGACTCATTGGAGTCTGTCGCGACCTTAGCCCCCTTCCTCCTCCCCTCCCCTCCTCTCTCCCCCTTTTTGTCATCTTGGGGTGTTCCTGAATGTAATACTCAGGCTCACCCCTCTCTCTCACTCACTGGTGTGTCCCTGGACGCTTGTGCGTAGCTGGGATCTCTCTTTTTCCTTCCTTTCCTTTCCCTCCTTCTTGTTTGGGTGTCCCTGGATGCTTTCGTCATAGCTGGGAACCCTTCTCCTCTCTTCCTTTGGTGTGTCCTTGGACGCTTGTGTCGTAGCTGGGAACACCTTCTTCCCCTTTCCTTTCTTCTCTTTCTTTTTCTCTTCTCTCCCTACCCCTCTTTTGTGTCGGGACCGTAGAGTGGGATGCTACTAGGGGCTCCTGGCCTTACTACTAGGTGCTAGGACGCTACTTTGACGCTACTAGGGGTTCCTGGCCTTACTACTAGGCGCAAGGACGCTCGATTTCCCATCCGTGCCAACGAAGCTACGGAAATCAGTTGGAAGAGA